ACGCGCCTAGTCAAACACGTTTAGTCGCGCCTGTGGAGGATAAGGGCGCGCAACCATTGGCACGCGTCAACCGCGTTGACGCCCACGCGTCCAAAGCCGATGCACAATGTTTCTTAACCTTTTGGCTTAGAACTGTCCAAGTTCAGCACAGAATTGCACATTCCTAACTGCAGCGGGTTTATATGTTTTAGAGGATATGAGAACAGGTTAAAAAATTGATAGTGCTTCACCCACCACAGTTTAGACCATTTTAGAAGTAATTGACATTCCAGTGCCCAAAGTAACTATAGTGGTATTCACCAGAAATCAATATCGGTGCGTGTGCCGCTCCCGCGAATGAACATTCGCGTCTAGCATACTGTACGTCTACGTCTATCTTAGGCGTGTGCAGAGTTCTCCTTAAAGGGGGGGGGGGGGGGCAAAAGTTTGTCGCAGTGCCCCCTTCACGTAGGTGCTGACTTAGCGCCCCCTCACTATTATGTTAAAATATGGAGTTGACATTGAGCTACCCCACTCCTCTCTTTAAGGAATGAGGTGGCGGCTGCCCTCCTGATCAGGTTTACAAACCACCGGGTTTCTATACCTGCACTACCAAATTTATTAACAATATCTTGAATATACTGGTACCTTCAGTATATTTAAACATCATATTTTATAGCACTCAACTTAATAATCACGCCTAAAACTTCATGATCTGACAGATTTAAGTCAGTCATAAGACCACAATTGAGGCCCGAGTAGCAGGCTTTCGGCTGATGAGTGTTCGAAATATCCTCTGATGCAACAAAGCACACCTGGTTCTTATTGATACAACAGATATTGGTCATAAGATAGGAACCAAATACTGCGTAGAATGCCTTCGGGCATTTTCCATAGTCGAAATATGCTCTAATACAACTAACTGTGCCTGACACTTCATGAAATCACAGATACTGGTCATATTATTAGAACTTAAACCTTAGTGCAAGACTTCTGGTCGTTGTCTTTAGTCAAAGTATTCTCTAAATTGACAAACGACACCCAACTGTTCATGAAGTCACAGATATCGGTTATAATATTGGAACTGAACCCTGTATAGAAGGCTTTTGAACGTTGTCTGGAGCCGAAATGTTCTCCAATGCAACGACCTACACCCTACTCTTCATGATGTGACGAATTTAGGTCATGAGGCTGTAATTGTGCCCTGTGCGGAGGGCTTTTGAATGATAAGCGTATTGAAAATATCCTCCAATGCAAAAAACCGCATCTGGCTCTTAACTGTACAACAGATACTGGTCATAAGAATGAAACCAAGCACTACGTAGAATGCCTCGGGGCATTTTTGGTAGTCAAAATATGCTCTAATGCAACTAACTGTACTTGAAACATTCATCATAAGACAGATATTGGTCATAGGACTGCAATTGAACGCTGTGTGGAATACTTCTGGACGTTGTCTGTAGTTAAAGTATTTTCTAAAACGACAAACCGTGCATAACTCTTCATGAAGTCACAAATATCGGTCATAATACTGGAACTGAGCCCTTCATGGAAGGCAGCCAAAATGTTCTCTAATGCAATAAAACACACCCGACACATCATGATGCAACAGATATTAGTGATCAGATTGGAACCAAGCACAAGCGTGGAACACTTTCGGATGGTATATTTATTTATTTTCAAATGCGGCAGCCCAATGTGAGCCTACTGCAGGAGTGGCGTACATATATACAAAATGAAAGGATTTAAACAGTAATATCACCGTAAATGTGCCAACGTAAACAAAGTATCACTACCTTTTAGTGCACCCCGGTAAGAAAATGAGAGAAATAGAACATTATTACAATACAAGTGCCTCCAAAAAGTCAGGCACACTGGTATGACGAACCAAACCGAGTAGACCAATCCAGTGTTCGATAACTTTATTTGAACGTGTTAGAGAGCACTACAAATGACTTCTAAGCTGGATGGTGATTGCAGATCAGTGCTGCGTTTAAGGCTTCAGCACTTTGCTGGTAGTTTAAATATCCTTTAACATCTACAAAATGCGTCTGACACTTCTTGATGAGACAGACATTAGTTTTGAGATTACAGCCGAGCACTGTGGCTTTCACATGTCAATTGCCAAAATACCCTATAATGCAATAAAGCATGCCCAAAATTTTTGATGGGACAGATACCGATCACAGGATTGCTCCAGAGCACCGTACAGAAGTTTTGGCAAGTTTTCCAACGAGCTGAACTGAATATGCTTAAGTGCATGCATATATATAATCCAAGTTAATGCATATACTAAAAAACCGAAAAGAAATGAAGCACTCCTTGCAAACACATACAAATGTTCAATGTTCAAAACAATCGAATAATATCTTCAGCTCATTACGGTCTGGAGGAACAGATAAATACATGCACAGTTTTGAAAGGTTTCATAAGTCACATTAGGTACTTTCTGCATTTCTTCTATACAAAGTGCAGTACCATACTAGTGCACCTTCATTCATTCTTTGCATAAATGTGGTGATCTTCTCTTCCAACTAATCCTGTCACCGTGCAGCTGATTTCAAATCAGGTGCTTCTCACAAGGTTTTCAGTTATCTATCCAGCTGTAAACAAAACGCACATTATATTATAGTAAACCGTAAAACGACGGAGAAGCGCCATTGTATGCCTATAGCTATGAGCATCAGAATGAACAATAAATTAAGAATGTGTGTGTTAGAATGCCTCCAAACAACGTACGTGCTACTGAGCGTGGCAGAGAAGCAGAAGAAGCGAGAAGTGAAATAGCAGGCAATACCAGCAGCACTTAATCATGCACCTTTCTTTTTCGATCACCACAGCAACGCACGCTCTAGTTTCTGTCTTGTACGTGAATGGAAATGAGACCACTGACAGCTGATTGTTTCAGCGTTGGTGGTACTCCGACACGAAGTCACCTCACACTGCTACCAACCAGCGCATGCTTGTTATTAGCTTGGCAACACACGAAAACGATTAGCGCCGAAGCCAACGAATGTTTCGGCGTCGTACAATCCGCGAATACACTTCTATAAGTACGTACGTTTTCACATCACCGAAATATGTTGGCTAGTGCGAGGTTTCGCTTTCAGCGATGATGAATACCGATGTTGAAAACAAACACAGTGCAGATAAAAACTCCTCCGTATGAACTACGCGATGTTTCGGGCGTCATATATGGTGTCTATGTTGCGACGGAAACTACCGTAGAGTTTTTCAGCCGATGTTCCTCGCATGTGCTGGTTCATACGAACTAGACGGTAGAGGCCTGCGCTGGGTGCAGATGACACCGCTCTGAATTGCCTACGCGGTAGGCGAGGGCTCACGCTCAAACCTTCGAACCTCCGAAGTCTGTTTACACTCGTTTTTAGCACAGAAAGTCACAGATCAAAGCACAAGAACACCGACATGCTCCTTTCGCTCTGGCCGACGATCGCACTAGGGACCGGCGCTAGCATAGCCGGCCGGCATTCGCTGGATTTGTCGGCGTCACTCAAACTCGGCACGAAAACCGCGTCACGCTGGTAGCACTCGCTGTCGTTCGTCGTGTCGTAGTCGTTCTAGATTATGAAGCGGTCATTCGGGAACGTTTGGACTCAGTTTGCGCGCTTGCTTCGAGCACTCGACTGTGCCTTCGAAGCGGCGGCCATTAGGCATAACGTTCCGAGGCATCGCGGCCTCTGGTTGGTTGGCGCGCGGCCCCTGGTTGGTTGGCGCCGCTGTACGCGTGGCAAAAATATCAAGCCAACGCCAACTTTTATAATAAATATATAAGAAATATAATTTTTTTATATGTAAGGCTAAATAAAACCTTGAGCTACGTCCCCAAACACACGTAACCACGTAGTATAATTAGTGCTATAGGTTCACATTTTCTATAATTCATACTGAATTGGAAGTGCGCCCCTGTGCCGGACATGCACCTGCAAAGTAAGGGCTATATATACACCAGGAGTACATCATACAGTGGGCATAAGAAATGGTTAACTTGTTTGCGTCATGGTGCACCATGCTATGCGTGGTAGCTGTGTAGCCATGAGACAATGTTTGACCATCATTAGCAAAAAAAAAAATTATATGCTAAAATGTATGAAGAGGGACGCACACGCCACCAGACTACAATCTGCAGGAATATCCTCAGCTACAGTGGCTAGAATTATCACTGTACCTCAGCTTTACAGCTGATGAGGATGATGATGCAGAATAATCTCTGTCTGGGTCTGGGCCCCTATAACAATCAGCTCATCATTATCAGGTGGTGAGACCATGTATGAGACACAAACTGAAGACGACGATAAGTCATCCTTAGCTGCAAGAACACAGCGCATTCTGTGATGAATTGGAAACAATAGACCATTTGTTTTTGACCTGCAGGCGGTTTAACCCATTACGAAAAACCCTATTAGAAATACCCTTACGTGGTATCGGTATGGACTTATCTCTGCCTGTCATTTTGTCTTTTGGAGCTTCCATTTCTGGTTTCTCTAATGCGATAGTATGCGCGGCCGTCCGGGACTATATTGATGAAACTAATAGGTTGACTAATTAACCAGTTTCATTATCCTAACATGTCCACATAATCATATACGTATAAAATCAGATTATTCCCTATCGGAAAAAAACGAATGGTGGGCATGGTGGAAACCACCACCCACCATTATCCCCTTCAGGCGCGAATTAAATCTGACGTAGCGAAAAAAAAATTTTGTTCAGATTATGAATACATAACGCTATTAAAGAAGGAATCCACAAGAAATTCAGAAAAAAATTCATTGGTTCAATTTTTCAATGGCGTCCACATATGTGGACATTGCGCCTCAAAGCAGTCATATTGTCACGTGACCGTTACCCAAGCGCGCGCACGAAGACGCAGGGAAAGGAAGACGACGAAGGTGCGCCATGGCTTGTGCGTGGGTTTTTCGCCATACTGCCTGTTGTATAGGCTCTAGTAAATACATATTTTACATCTCGCTTTCCTTGTTGCAATACCCATGAACGGTGGAGAAGAAGAAAACAAACGCTTTTATTTCGGAGGCTCGCAAATAATCATTGCAGGAACACTGCTTAGGAAGTCTTTTCCGCAAAAATAATCAGAAAGAGTCTATTTGGTATGAAACAAATAAAAACAGTCGTTCTGAGATGTCAGACAAAGGAAAATGTTGCATTTCCTGCAGCGGACACGGCTTTTGGATGTGCATTCCTCTCTCCGGCAGCGTTGTGCGTTAGCCATGTTTACTTGCTGCGGCCAATGATTAATCCCATCATAGCGAACAGTGCTGACTGGTAGTGGTGAAGCATTGGGTACCTTCTTTTTCACTGTTCGGGAGTTGTCATTGCTCGGACGTCCACGCTTCTTTTGTGGCTTATTGCTGTTCAGCAGGCAATTCGCGACGTCTGTTTGGAACGCCATCATGTCCAGTGTCTCTTTTCTTAGTAGCCCTGCTTTATTGGCATCCCTTAAGTATTCAAGCCAACTGTTGGAGAGCGCAAAAGATGCAAAATGGGAAATCACTCTCACAGGCCACTTTTTCGTTCGCGTCCGCATTGGGTAGAGGGACATGATGAAGTCTAGTTTGTCTACTCCACCCATGTATTTGTTGTAGTCCAGGACTACCTCTGGACAGTCAATGTCAACGTGGACCTTTTGGGATTCGCTCCATCTTCTCACGGTGCCAATATTTCCAACTCCAAGGTGGGTAGAAGCCATGTTGACGGTCCCGTTGTCTTGCCAACGAACAAGGACAACTTCGTCGTTCTGGGAAACCCGCTCATCATAGCTTCCCCGTCCTTCTTTCTTCATTTCCTTGTCTGTTTTCATGACGCATCCTGCCAAGCGGTTTCCCCTAATTGTGCCACTAGCCAAAATGCCGATCTTTTTTAACTCAAGAAAGAGCTTCACGGACGTAAAATAATTGTCCATGTAGCACTTGATGTTCTGTGCCTTCGGGAGGCTTTCAACAAGGCGCATTACGACGGAGCCACCAAGGCCAAGATGTGCATGTTCTTTGCTCACTCCCGTTCCCTTCCCTTGGTAAACTCAAAGTCATGTGCAAGACCGTCAAAACTGCAGCGTACAAAAACCTTCACGCCTTCTGGGTTCGGTTTTCCTTTCACAAATTGCTTTGCAGCAATGCGTCCTGTGAACGGCACCATCTGTTCATCGATGCTATTCTGTTCCAAGGGAACAAGCTGTAAGCAGCGGCTTCTGACAGCTTCTAGCAACGGCCTAACTTTCCAAAATTTGTCTTGGCTGTTCGGGTCCCGTTCTTCATTAGCGTCGCTTATGTGGAGAGCGCCTCTGATTTTGAAGAATCGCTTCACGCCCATCGAATCGGCTATTGCGGGAATCCTCGTTGCAGTTTGCCAATACATTCTGACGCGTGGGTATTTCAGAACACCCATCAGCATGAGCATTCCAAAAATATTTTGATCTCTTCTTTTGTAGTGGCTAATACGGCACCGTCTCTTTGCAGGACATACCTGTTTGTGAATTCAGCAAGGTCTTCAAATATCTGTTCGGTGAAATACTTGCTAAAATACACAAGTGGCTGCTGGCATGTCGAGGCTACTTCAGGATTGTAGTGGCAGTCAACATCACTTGGAGCAAAATCTTTCTTCACCCATTTGAACTCAGCCTTCGTAGATGCCGCAGGTGCGTTCGAGCTGACCGTGGCGTCTGGTCGTGCAGGCAGTGCAGCTGTGGTCGTGGATGCGGTCACCTGACCATTGGCAGGCTGAAACAAACAGCGTAAATTAGGGTCAAAGTACCTTTAGACAGTTTGGTGCCATATGTTTCCCGAGAACACAAAATAATGTCTCACAATCTCGAGCAAACTTACTATGTTTTCTTCATTTTCTGCTTCCAATTCGTCATCTGAAAAGTCGCCATCTGAGATATCTCCATTTGATATTCTCATGAGGATTTCTTCTGCTGTCGCATCATCAACTTTCTGACGTTTTGAAGCATGATCTTCAAGTCCTGGAGACAAAAAATCACACATAACCATCATATCTGCGCACACGGTGCGAAATGGCTGCCCTGCAACAAAGGCAGCACTAAGGCGCAATGTCCACGATCGTGGACGCGGTATTTTACGCACCCTTTTTGACGTTATAAATAGTTTCTAGTTGCAAAAGTCTTGTTTATTGGCATGAGGTATCTCTTAGCTCTTACTGACAAGTGCATAATTTCATGCCACCTCGAATGAAACATAGCAAGGGCTTGAAAAGTGAGAGCCACTTACGTGCGCCGCCGTAAAACGTGGAGGCGTCCATCTTTGAGAGTTGTTTTTGTAGTTATTTTGTGTCAGCTGCGGCAGATGGCGCCACGGGTCGCTGCAGCAACATGTAGTGATAGAGAGAGCACTGGTTGCGCGCGAGATTCAAAGTAAATTTCGAGATATTGAGCTGTGAAGTTGGCGTCCACAAATGTGGACGCTGCGCCTGAAGGGGTTATAGTGGATTAATGTAGTGGGTGAATGGTGGGAAACACCCACCATGGCGCATGGTGGGTATGGTGGGTGCTGCAGTGCCGGCAACACTTGAGCGCAAAATGACGTCAGAATCACCGTGACGAGCTGCCACAAAAAATAAAAAAGAATTCTATAAAAACGGTATAAAAAAACACCCGTGCCGTAAAAAAATAAAAACATGGCGCTACGGAGGATCGAACGTGCAACCTGCGGATTCCCATTCGAAGACGCTAACCACTGCGCCACACCAACATGACGTTGGTTGCGTGTTAAATACTTAGTTGGCGTAGAAACTTAAGGTTCAACTTAAGTTATGTTTGTCGTGTACACAACATAGACAAGATCTACACCTGCTACTAAAGATTGCACATTTATTAAACACATGCAACTGCGCCCTGTAACGATTACCACTATGTTATTGGCACTAGTGCTATTTTTTTTTTATAATTCACAACTTAAAGGAAAAAAAAAACCAAGTGGACTGGGGAGCAGCAACAGTTTACCGGCGGGGTCTGCCAAGTTTAATATCCGTTTCGCGCTCGTTCTAAAGGGCGACATCTGCTCACGCTTTATGACGCTTCTAGGTTCATTTCATAGATACGCCCGCCTAATTTATTTGATTGAGTATTGAGATGCTTTTCGCACAATGTAGAGGGCGGTCGCGCCAGCGCAATGCTGTTGCTCTTTCGCTAAAGCAACAACTACATAACGGCTTGGCCAAAACGAATGCAGTGTACCGGAAACATTACGCTATCATAATGGTTCACCAAGCACACGAATTGCCACGTCTGAGTTCTCGTACAAAAGCTAGAGAAGTGCCGGCGAGTGCGACCGGCGGCTGTCGGTGAGAAGACACTAAATTACGTTCTCTGGGAGTGCTTTAATCGCGTCGCATCGATGTTTGTTGCTTCTTGAGCGAACAGCATACACAATGAAAAATGCTTCATTTAGGTTAATTGATGCCATATGGCTGCGCTGTATTGTCATACTTAATCGTCATAATCGTGTATTCTGAAACCCGGAAGCACGGATAACACAATTGTACGGGCTCGGTCAGTAGGCCTAACCTTTGGTGGAAATCATGATGGTAGAACATGTAGTGTACAGATCCCAGCTTGGTACACTATATAATTTGCCCGCCATTATAAGCCCACCCATCATCTGCTTACTGCTTCCCAGCATTATCGTGATGGTGGGCAGAGCTTCTCAGCTTGGTACACCATGTGGCCCACCATAACAAGCAGCACCCATCATCTGCTTAGTGCTTCCCAGCATTATCGCAATGGTGGGAAGAGTTTCTCAGCTTGGTACACCATGTAGCCCACCATAATAAGCACCACCCACCATATGCTTAGGGCTTCCCAGCATTATCGCAATGGTGGGCAGAGTGTCCCATTATTGCCCACTATCTAGCCTCTGCTTTCCACCATCATTTCCACTTTACCCATCATCTGTACACCATACCACCCAGTATGTCCCGGCATAACCACCATATTTTCCACTACGTCCCACCATAGCCATCATAATTTCCACCATGCCCACTATTATTTCCACCATGCCCACTATCATTTCCACTACGCCCACCATGTTTTCCAGTATCCACCATGGCAATTTTTCCAATAGGGATTGCTCTATTCTAAGAATAAATTCGTTTATGTAAATATTTGTATGCTTTACATTAAGCACCACACTTTCCTAGGCTATCGGTGATATTTCTGTTATACCTCCATCATTCCAAATCTGAACAGTAAATTTTAAAACCACTCGATTCTTGGCCAATCCCCCACAGTGAGTATGCGCCACTAAATATAGGAGAACAAACACAACAACAAAGACGCCCGACACACCCAGTGGCACTGAGCCAGACATGAAAGATGATGCCTCGCCGCATATGGAGTCTGGCACTGAAGATGGCACTGGAAATTTAAGTAAACATTTGCTTGGCTCTGTTGGGGATTCTGTTTCGAATAGCCCAGCATCTGTGCTGCAGGGGTGAGCATTACTCTTTTTTTTTTACTGGTATGTATAATCTCGATCAAAAGGAATTGCTTAAATGGGACAGACACTTTTTCCACATCTTCATTCAGAAATATTTTATTACAGTAAAATATAAGTGATACTGATCTCAAAAGCAAGGAGAAATATTCATATGAACCAAATTTCTCATCTAAAAAAATGTTAATGTTTGCACTGGGTCGCGCAAAGAAAAGACTATATGAGCACTCTTGTAGTCATCTTCTCTTCTTGCGTCTTGTTCGTTTGCATTCAGATCTATTTGAGAATAAACCAACACGCCCAACAAAGCATTATATTAAGCGGAGTAGTGGGATTGGCCCAAAATCTGTGGTGCATACCCGTTTGTGATGATGATGGTTGTGGCAGGTTTGACACTTTACATCTGGTTTAAACAGTTTCGCTGTTATAAAACTAGTGAAACATGTTTTCAAATAGTGATATATGCGCAAAAGGGTCATTTCGGTAGAGAGAACTCGCATACGTCTATCTGGGACACATGCGAATGAATGAAGCTGGCTGCCGTGGATACCCGCGTCCGAGCTTCATCTGAAAAGGCCCTACAACACTTTCCTAATTAATTGTTGAATGGCTTCATTAAAAGAGCTTATTGCCTCACAAGTCGAGCGCCGTTAAAATTTTTAGAGTCCAGAACTTACAGCGGAATCGCAGAGGTTTTTCGCATGCTTCAAACGCTTTCTCTTTCCTTTAATACTAGGGAGCTAGCTGAATTCTATGCTGGGAGTGGTATGACAAAGAGACTAGAATGTGCATTCTTTCGTCAGTGCGCATCATTGGCTTCCACCTATGGCTTACTTCCTATATGATCGCGGGCATGTGGTGGCATCCTGCAGTGGCCTTGGTAATCATGCAGTTCACGATGCTCAAATCAGCTGAATGGCTGTGGGTATTGGGTTTTCGACACGGTGATTTGGATTTACGGCATCATTATCGGGTTAAGAGGGAGCAATTTGAAATGGGTGAATCAATTGCAAATTTCAGGTCACTTGCAGCGATGTAATGTTTGGCTCAAGTGTTCTCAGAAGCCTCGACTACCAATCAGCAGCATTTGCGAACCACGCCTAAAGAATGTCTATGTTTCTTTGGGGTTAACTTAAAGCTTTGGTGCGTTTAGTCGCTGTCAATGCTCACATGGATAGCTACGGCAGTTTTTTTGCGCAGCAGTTGCGGCTATCGGTAGTTCTGTTTTAAATATGTGTGCGCTAGCAGTGCCCGTGCCTTTAGAACTGTGTGCTGCTATCTATGATAATGTCTACCTCGGTTGCAGCTAATGACTTGGTGAGCATTGGTACGCCTGTACTTTCGTAGCTGTCGTCGCTTCCACAGAGGATTGTGTCGACAGCGACCGTGCAGCTTTGTTCACAGCAGTTGCGACAAAAAGTAGTTCCGTTTTCAGTCTCTGGGCGCTGGCTTCAGGCGTTCTTCCTGAGCACGCTGCTGTCGGTTGTCGCTTAACGGTATCTGCACCCAATATCGCATCGCACGGCGAGGCATGCAGAAGGGTTTGGAACATTAAAATTATGGC